GCATGTATATGACTCAAGCTTAAAATAGATCAACTATATATTATACTCTTAAGCTAAGAAAAAATACTAAAATACTACCAAGTATGAGTCATCCTCTCACGTGATGATGATAAAAATATTTAATACATAATTTGAAATATTTAGTAATCAAGGCAACAAATGCAAAAAAAAAAAAAACAACAGATATCCCATCTTTCCCCCAGCCAACTGTAAACTTGTCTAGTTTACTAGTTTATAGTGTATTATATCCTGTGTGAAGGTGAAAAATGTTGAAAGTGAGACTAACAATCCAACCCTAAAATAAGCAAGACAACCTCTGCTGAAACAACAAATTTTGAAGTCTTCTGTCTCACATTCAGAAAGCAAAAAGCTAATATATGAATAATACATAGACATAGTGTATGTGTGCAGTGCACTCATTTCGTCTCTGTTATGATCATATTATGTTACCATGGTAATCCTCGTGATGATTTAAACTAAAATTTAACTTGGACTGTGTGTGTGACAGTTAAGATTGTTTTATTAATTTAATAATATAAACAGTAAAAATATCAAAAAAGTATACAGTTGTTACTGTATATTTCATACCATATAATGATATTTACAACATGGCTATATGAATCGAGTAGGTTTCAGGCAAGGAGACATAAAATAAGACGAATTGTTGATATTAGATGGTTAGAACCAATCGTTAGGATGATTTGGACCTAGGTTTCATCCTAGTTGGCACTCGTCAACAAAGCGTATCCGCAACCTTGAAGGAACTCATGTCCCTTCTAAAAACCTAGCATTGCAAGCTTGACTGATAGAATTCAGTCTGCCCCAAAGATAGGACTAGACACATAACGCTAATTGCTGGGCAAATACGAAGACTAGCGACCAAGATCCACGACCGACAAAAGTGACAGCAAAACATTCTATCAAAACCGTTCGATGAAACAGTTATTTATTATGCAAACAAGTATATTTAGGCTAAACCTCAGTGGGTAAGAACTGATGAGGAGTCCCAAACTGGGACGAGACATATTATTGTTTATTCATTTTAATTTTATTCCTTTCCATTCATAATAAAACACAGAGCTTCAAGGTTGAGCTTTGAAGCGTCAGAAGCGGTATTGTTTTTTTTCGATGAGGTTGCTAGCCCAACAATTCCCTCCTTGTCGGGCAAAGCACCCGCTAAACGTGGTTTAAGAGTACGCCAAACGGGATCTGAACCCAAGACCATGTAGGTGGTTGGCTAGCACTCTACAGCTGAACCGCCAACACACGTTATTCTTCATAGTTGCCCTTTATTACTTGCCATTCTATAGAATATTTCGAATATCCTTCAAGTAACAGCTAAAATATTAAAACCATTTGAAACAGACATAGCACACAGGCCGACACAATCACTTCATTTGATATTATGCAGACCAGAATATCCAACGGCAAATAAAGACAAAATATTGCAGACCATCTACAAAATTAATTACATAAACTAGTCCAAGTGAGTGTCCCACTCGACTCAAAATCCAAGATCACAAATTGGCTGTAAATAGATACAAAATATATTCTTTCGTATCAATGCATATAGACAATTATAGACACCTATCTGATTAATAAATATGCAAAAATTCTAAACAGTGGAAACACTAAAAGTAATGCCGGGGTATTTTCAAAATCCTGATGAATCAGCTACTAGCAAAACCACTACAATAGATCAAATTTACCAACTAATGAAGAATAAACCACACGACAAGCAAGTTCAAATTGCAAGTCAATAAAACTGATCAATAAAGATGTAAATTAACAACCAATCAGGAGAAAGACTGTCAGGAGATACAATTATATACCACTCATGGAGGCAGAATTCAAATAAATTCACTTCATATTAAAGCTTTCGCTGAAGATGTACAGCGAGTGTTTCGCAATTAAATCAGCCATTTCAGGCAATACAACCAAGTCAAAACTAACAATTCCTTATAAAAACGAAGATAACCTATGTTACAGCCACTACTATGAGCTTACCATATGACCTTGAACAACCAATCACAATAAAGGAATTTCAGGACTAGTTCAATATTGTATTTCAAATATATATATATATATATACATACATATATATATATATATATATATATTGACAGCTTAATTCAAATGTGTTCATAACATGCTTTAACGGAATGACATAAGTAATGCGTTATAATATAGATATTTTACATAATATGGAGATATTTTACGAGGCATTCATTTTGATGGCTTCATTGACATATCTAGGCTTCAGGCTTCAAATTTAAACATATTAAGATTGCATTTTCCTATTGCTATTTACGTCTTATTTCATCATGAGTCACTCATTCAAACTAGAAGTATTTAGGTTATGCCATATCATTGCTCGCTTAATTCTCTTTTATATACCTTAAGAAAGTTCACTAGTTAAGCATAATAAGAAGTATCCTAAAATGTACAGAGTAATAGGCTCTCCATATGTGCGGCATTCATGAATAGTAAGATAATTGATTGCTTGGGTTGATTAACAGGCTCTTCGTGGTGACTGCTATAGTTCCTTCTGTCACTATGTTATATAATACGACTTTGTTATCACCATCTATTCCTCTATGATGTGTAAAGCCTGAAGATTCCCAATATGCAAAGGTAATTATTTAAAAACTAGTTACAATGACCAACACACCCTAACAAATGTATATTAGAACTATGAAGTGGACAAATGTTAGAGTCAAACTGTACTGTATTCTGGAAATTTTTTTACACTAAAACCACTCAAAACAATTGACCAGCTCGAATGGTGATATATATAGCGTACTGATGAAGAGTCCCAAACTAGGACGAAACAGCTGTCTAGTTCTCCCAGGTTTTCCAGTGATTCTCTAACCGATGTCAGCTTGTGACCAGTCCTGTAGTCAGTCGATTCCCTGGAAACCAACACTTAACAATAATAATAATAATAATAATAATAATAATAATAATAATAATAATAATAATAATAGTCGATAATGCATAATTTGGAACAACATTGTTCCATCCAAAGCAATGCTCCCCATTACACGAAGACCTTTTTGAAAATGTGCGTTATGATTCAGGACGCATTTGGATGATTGAAACAACAATATGACTTACAGTAAAGGAATTTACTGGGTCCAGTGATTCAAACAGGCCGCCAGACTTAGGAATATTCAGTTAGCAAAGCATGGCAGTGAAACTATATAATTGGCACTATACTTATAAGATGTATGTTGACAGAAGGGTGGAAATGCTAAACAGATTAAAGTTATTTTTGAGTTAGAGGACACAAATTTGCAGTGAGAAGCACAACTGCTCGTTGCTGCGTTCGAGCCTGTCAAATGTTCCTCTAATTCAATGAGAAATCACTTTTTCATTTCAAGCAGCCTATCCTATGAATTCGAGATCAACTCATGGTAGTGTGATACAGACAATATGTGCCAACAGAATATTATTCTCACATATTCCCACAGTTCAATTCGGCATTAACAAGAGAATACGATATATTTATTTGAACATTCTATGTGATGTTAGAGACAGAATACAATATATATGTACCTTGGCTCTCGTGTCCTGCCTTCTGTTGTTACAAACTTACTCTTGCATTAAGTTGATCAACATTCACTCGACCACAGCCCAAAATGGAAGTGTGGTGTCTGTGTATCCAACAGTTCACATTCATTTGAAAATAATTTCCAAACTACTTGTACTTCTTAGTAGTATATTATGTTGACTTAAATCTAGTCTGTTTCAACAACAGATTGAAGTGTAGTCAGTTATCACTGTGAGTTGCACTCATCCTCATCTTGTTATCGTATACAACAAATGGTGGTCTCACATGACCCTATATCGATTTAAGACATAAAAAGGAATACTTAATAAGTATGTTACCATAGTGATATGTAGGTGAGAGCATTTATTTCCCTTAAAATAATCAATATTTCGCCAAGCCTGAACTGATGAGTTGTAGTCAGATTATTATAGTGTAGTAAAGGAAAGAATTAGTAACTATGCCCCACTAGTAGATGAAAAACAAAGTGCATGTGACTGTATCATAAGTCAGGTGCTAATATATCTACAGTCCAACCGTTATGAATGACATGTGATAAGTAATTATTTAGCTGCACAATTGAAGGAGACTACAAGGCCATATGATCTCATTTTAAGGGAGGAAGACCTTAAGCAGAAATCCCGTATGTTGGGACCAGTTTCAGCTAAGGTACTTATCCTCCAGTTACTAACTAGAGGGCTGTTGCGAAGAGTTTACGACCTGTCGGTTACTTCATGGATAAACTGCTAAGAATCCGCCAGTCATAACACAGAAACTTATTTCACTGGTGGCCTTATGCTGTCTATTTATTGAGGACCCTCAGGGCATGCCTCGCCAGTCATCCAACGTTACGGTGGGCCCCAGAACCTACTAGGATCTTCCTGAGTAGACCGACAACTCTGCAACTGAACACCAACAACAACAACCTACTTAGAGACCTCTTGCTTTGCTGCTATTGCGGTTACCGTAAGCTTATCCCCTCCTTACTGGATTCAATCCATCTTTATCGACGAGCAAACTGGCACTTCGTACATTCCTTCAAAGATTAGTGTGGCGAAGTAAGAAATGAAATAACGCACTAGCCGCATTCTACAGGCGTCCTGAGCACTGTTAAGACCACAGGAACACAATGATAACGGAAAGACCACCACCCGATCCCGGTTTGACGGACTGCAAATTGAATGAACCCTAACATAATGTCACATACTACAACCTAAGCAGTATTCAAGAATCCAGAGAGAACCTCGTTGTTCTGAGCTATGATGTGCATACGGAATAAGTGAAAAGACCATTGATGTTAAATAAACGAGTACTTTAATTCATTGAAATATTAGGAACATTCATACATAACATGAAAACTCATTGAAAAGAAAAATAAGGAAATAAGAAAATAACATGACTATCACATATGCAGAAATATTATACAAATAAAAATAGTGATGACAATAACTCATAGAAATTGAAAGGATTGTTTAAGATAAGGACAATAACTGATTGTGTGTGCATTATCACCGGTTGCATGACAATTTGGACAGGAAAGTACACGTAACATAGGGCAGGTGACACGACCTGCTTGATCCTTGACCTGAAAGTCGATATAAAGAAAACATATATATTAAATAACTGACAAAATAGTAGTGCAAGGAAACAATACCATAAACCCAATAATATACACATACCTCATGAGTAACGTAGGTCTCAGGAGACTCTCCATTGTTTCGACAAAATGCACAAAGAGCATAATCATACTCCAACCTCTTACGTACAGCTAAAAACACCTTTTTCAAGTTAAGAGGAATTTTCTGGCAACAAATGGCATTGAACCTAGACAATGAATTAGGACATAACACTGTTAGTTACCATGCATGGAGTTCAAGAGTATCCTTGTCCCACTTCTTAGACCTTAGTGATGAACAGGTTGAGAACTGCTGATGTCTAGGCGGTTTTGTCGGTTTCATGGCTAATATTGCCAGAGCTGCCCAAAGTGCTTTAGCGAGCCACATGAAGTTCGAAGACTGTGATGACTCCGTGTTCCCAGAGACTCGGTATGGCTCTCGACAGACATAACCCACGCGAGGTGCTACACAAGGAGGAGTGCCATTGAGAAAGCCAGGATTCGGAGGGTATGGTTGGGGACTACTCACACTACTGTATGCAGGTATAGCATAGAGACTGGGCGCCATGAGTTTACCTTAACAACCTAATAAAAATAAATGCAAGAGAACTTACTGTTGTAATTGTTATTATTGACTTGAGTTGTAACTCTAACTCGACTAATCGGCTGAACTGTGGGAACTTGGGCTTGGCTCACAGGACTGTAAGTGTGTACATGTGACCCCAATAGACCACTGCTGGAGACATGATTGCTGCTCGGAGAATACTGCTGCTTTTGATACGCATAAGTAGCAGCAGGCCTACTTAGTTGACATTCACCAAATAGGTTAGGATATGGCTCTGTAGGCTGCTGATTTACTGACAGTCTTTCTAGGGCATGGAGTAGTAGTGTGTTACAGACCGATGGGACATTATTATCTACACAGAAGATAAGTTTGTCACGAAGAGACTCCTACCAAGGTCACCACCACTTAGTCCTTCTAATTTGAATGCTCCGGGATCATATGCTGACCAGAGACTACTGCAATCTGTCCGTCTGAAATCAATCATCCTCGTAAAATAAACTCCCGTCTGGTCACATTTGATTATATATACTGTTTAACCAATAAGAAGACCAGACAACTGATTTTCTCTCCACATTAAGTGGATGGAAAAGCGTGACCATAGCAAATTTATTATTACAACCAATAAAAATTTCGAAAGTGATATTAGCGATAATTAACCAATTAAAATTAAATTTTCTTTAAAAAACCAGAGGGTGGTGATGATATACAATGTCCCACTATTTTTAGTAGTGTTGTTAATATTGTTATCAGAATAAAACTTGTGCACTGTGGCAGAGTATAATAATTCCACTATGGGTAAAATTTATTTTGATTAAGTCTCACAGTGTTATACAGTAATATTTACTGATCACTACGTTTCGAGCACAATTTATTACTGCTCACAATCATATGAAGAAGCTCACACAACTTTTTAACTTCGTTTATACGATTCCATTATTTTCCATCGCTTGATTTGATTGGTAGTAGTATTTTCCATATTTCCGGTATGAGTGGTGCATGTGTTAGGCGTAGATTCAGAAACATTATAATTGGAGGCCATTGTATCTTAGCTCCCAACCAAGCAGTTTACACCTCCCTATGTGACTCATACAGACACTGTCAGAGGTCTTATGGATGGATATCATGTTTTGGTTTAACTACCCCTAACCTGATCCTATGTCAGCTAACATTTCCCGTCGAGGTAGGCAATGGCTAGGGATGCGCGATGTATGTCCTATGTGTGTTGTGTTTTATCCTCCTTAGAACTAATCAAGCGGTAGTATATGTACCTCAGTCAGTACTGATGTTCCTCCCAAGTACATTTCTTCCTAAATTGAGGAAATAGGTAATTTGTGTTCAAATCTCGTCCGGGAGATGTAAGCACATAAAGCTGATGAGTCCCAACATAGGACGAAACGTATTAGGACTTTTGCATTCTTCAGTGATTCTGATTGAGTTGTACATTTCTTCATCTCTCTCTCTCCCCCTGATTATGTTGAAAAGGAAAGTGAAGAATGAAAGAATTCCCCTCCCTCCTGCTTTCACATGCACCTCTTGTTGTTCTAGAGAAAAACTGATTAAAACATAGAAACGTTTTTAAATACGCTTCTTTTTGTCTTTATTATTCATCATGACTTTTTCTTTTTTTGCCGTTTATTTTTAATGCATTTAAACAACAATGTGGTGCTACTCATCTCCTTCATCTATTGACATTTATATGATCCTTTTCTTGACCTCCTTCTATCTCCCCCCCCCGCGTCTTTTCTCTCTCTCTCTTTCCTCCTAGGGGTTTATATATCGTATATGTATTTTCAGTGATCATTTCTATAAACAATCTTGTTTCTACAAGATCATTTCAATGTTCAATTCTATATATTTTAATGATCTTGTTCACACTTGTCTATTATAATGTGTGCTTTATTGTTGTTGTATTTTTGTTTTGTTTTGTTTTGTGTACGTACATGCGTGAATGTACTCAAACTACATGGTAATTATGTCGATTGGCTTTTTTCTCTGTCCTGCTTCCCTCCCTCCCTCCCTATATATATATATATATATATATATACTTTTGTACCCGCCATTCAAATGACAATGATGAATATGAAATGAGTTTATATATATCAAAGTTCAATGGTAGAATTAATTCTCCTGATTATCATCCTTTAACTGACTGATGAGTTGTATTCTAAACCGAAATGTCTTTCCTTGTTTTCTTATCTCTTTTATTTTTGTTTTCATTGTTTATCCGTTTGTATGTTTGTCAGTTTGTACGTTGTTTGTTTGTTTGTTTGTATTCTACCCTTTATAAATAGTCCATGTGTACATACATTATTGACACAGTTGTGCCTTTTAGGCGCTGGATGATTTTTAATTAACGTAACTTTTCCTTCAATTCAGTCTGATTCTCTAGTTGCCTGGAGTTCTAGCGAGAAGTCATGACCAATGTGGTCCATCCAGTCGGGAGTGAGGACTAAGTTTCCGCTGATGATATTGGTTGGTGGTCACCCCACGGGTAGAAGTTAGAATTCATGGACTGGCCATTGAATGGAGTCCCAGTGCCTGAATGGTATACGAGCCAGCTTGTCTTTTAACCGGAAGGTCCTGGGTTCGAACCCTGTTGGTGGTGGGTTGGGTGCGTACTGCCGATGAGTCCCAAAGTAGGAATGAAACAACTGTCCAGTACTCCCTGCAGGTTTTCCAATGGTTCTCTAACTGATGTCAGCCCGTGATCAATCCTTGTAAGCCAACAGTTGATAATAAGAATATTAATTTTCTAAATGTAAATCATGGTCAGATTTCACCACGAACTTTGTACATGGAAGATAATAAGTTTTATTCTCTCTTCATATTACCGTATTTAGTTACTACCACGTCATGAACATGACGATTGATTCCACTTCCTAGATCTCAGTATCAAAAAGAAAGAAATGATAGGATGATTGGTAAATACGTCTAGCTGAAAAGAAACGTGAAATAGTCAATATTTAAATTATCATTGCTTTTGTCCAGTCGCTTCCAAACGGGGCTTGGTGGAAACGCTCTTCAACCGAGCTAGAGCGTATCCATAAAAGTTGGAATAAAAGAATTAAGGGTGTGTTGAAGAGGACATTTGCAGCCGCCAGACTAATTTCGCTTTACACCACCACATACTTGTTAAGTATCCTACTCATGTCAGTTTCAACTGGATTTACAAATTCACTGTCACATAGGAAAGACTGAGAGGAGGGCGTCTAGTAGATTTTATTATGACGTCTAGCTTCGGAGTCTTAAGCACGTGTTACGTCCTATTTGGGACTTTTTAGTTGGAATTACCTACATTACAATGAGGGATGATGGTATTCCCGCAGAGAAGCGAACTCAGCACTGGCAAACACATTCGTACTAGGAGCTGGCATGACCGAACACTTCAGTTCACAATAATCAATCGACCTGATATTCAAATAACAGGGAAAAGAAACAACCAAAAGAAAAGGCGTTCAGCGAAGGGTTACGCTTTTCGGTGATTTCATTCTCAAGCAGTACAATCGCATATATCTATGTAGTAAATTATCTTAGAAAAATAAGGATTATTTTCAAAGATGTGTCGTTAGAATTGTAAATTTTTAGACATGTGAATTGCCATTGCCTCAGAGTTTCAAAGGAGTTTGATTCGTACTCTTTTAGCGAGATTCCCATTTATTGTGTAGATAACTGTGAAGTTGTTTTGTGGGTTTGTTTGGTGTCCAGATTCAATCAAGTGTTCCAGGATAGAGTTTGGGGGGAGGGGGATCTTTTTTCTCCTTTGTAAAGCCATGACTGTAGGTAAGTGTTCGATGATACGTTTGGATAGCAAACGCATGAGCAAGTCAATTAATATATATATACACTGATGAAACCTGCTGTGGTAGTTGATCCTTCACGTTCGTACACATCATCGTCCATGGGGAGAAAGTTAGCTGAAGTTCAGTCGCGAAGATGGTTTTCTTCAATGAGACGGACATAAGGTTTCACAGTATTTCTACCAATCAGTCTCCATTCAAGTAGAGAAGTATTTTAGGAGCAGAAAGTGTTGGCGGTTTAAGTGGTTTGAGTTTCATGGATTTTGTAATGAAACTTTCGAGGGAGCCATTTTTTGAAGGAGAATTCTCCTCAGAGTGTTCATCTCCTCTTCCGTAGTGTCAGGGCTGTGGATTCTGTAACTCAGTGATGAATGGATCAGGTATCTTTCTGCATATAGTGGCACCCAACTACGAAAACTGGTGAGTGGTCGGTTCCATGTCGACTTTTTATAGATGGATCTAACCACTATCAATCACACACGTCATTTTATTCAATTCTAAATCCAAGTTCATCTTAGACGCATTTAACAGACATAACACACTACACATATTTATAAAACGGAGAAGTGTTAATTCTCAATAGAATATGAAGAACACGATGAAACATGAAACTTTCTTTCCTTTTGTTAAGAAGTGTTCTTTCGATGGGGATAACAAGTTGTACAGCAAAAAGCATTGAAGAAAAAGGAGACGAAAAATTACGCTTAATTAAGTATTCATACCTTGAGATGCAGGAATGAATGTACGCGTGTATGAATCTGTTAGTGTTTTTTTATGTCCAGCGCAAATGGGATCATAAATAAGTTGAACAGAATGAAACTGTAGCAATATAATAATTAATCAAATTTTAATATAAGGGTAAAAACTAATAAAACAAAGAAAACCACTGTTTGAGTTGTGTTTTTTTCTCTCTTTATTTTTGCGGTAATTTTGTGATTTGTTTCTTTTGTCATTTCCTTTCAACTTATTTTTGTTTTAAACAATAAAATGTTTACTGTATTTGTCAAGGCGGTCTGCTTGAATCATTGACTTATCCGACTTTCCATCTAGTATAATAAATCAATTAATTATGTCTTTGAAACACACACAGTACAGTTTTAGAGGGAAATAAACGAAAGCTGATATTATTAGATGGCTGGAAGCAATCTGCAGCAATTCTTGGGACCTAGATTTCTTGTTTTTTTTGACACTTTTCAGCAAGAGAAATCTGCAATTTTGAAGTGAGAACAGGAGTAAGACAAGCTGGCTGCCTACTATCGCCAATGATTTTCCTGATTGCAGTAGACTGGATAATGCGACAATCAGCGGGTAATGAGGAGAAAAGCATAAAATGGACCCACACAAATCACTTGAAGGATCTGGACTTCGCGGATGATATTTGTCTGATTTCCCACAAACTGGAAGATATGCAAACGAAAAGCAACAAGTTGGCAGAAGAAGCATCAAAGATAGGACTTCAGGTGAACATAAAGAAAACAAAGGTGATGAAGATTCCTGGCCAGCACCAACACCAACAGCAATAACAATCAGCATAAATGGAAGGAACCTGAAAGAAACAACCTCTTTTACCTACTTGGGAAGCATCGTTTCAACTACAGGTAGAACTGACGAGGATATCAAAGCAAGGATCGGAAAAGCAAGATAAGCTTTCACTACTGTCAAGTCTGTGTGGAGGTGAACATCACTC